CCCCCCAAAAAAATTTGAACCAACATCCCCCAATTTTTTTTTGAAAATTTAGAAGATAATTTTCTTTTCAGGAAAAATGTACAATTTCAGAGAGTTCAATAAACTTTAACACAAGTTATTGTCTGGAAACTTGAAAAATGGTTGTTTTTGGCCCCTTTTTGCCCCTTATTTATAAATGTTTTGGGCAATTACCCCCTAACTCAATCCCAGCCTTCCCTTTGTGATATGGAACCTTGTGGTACAATTTCAGAGAGATTCATACACTTACACACAAGTTATTGTCCGGAAACTACAAAAATGCTTGTTTTTGGCCATTTTTTGGTCCCCAATTCCTAAACTGTTGGTACCCTAACCCCCAAAATCAATCCCAACCTTTCTTTTGTGGTATTGAACCTTCTGGTAAAAACAAAACATATCGTCATTTTAGCGAAATCAAGAGTCTACTAACAATTTCTGCAAAATTTTACTAATTTGAAGATCTTATCTTGCTGATGATTTTCGCTTCTTAAAGTGTATATATATATCTATCTTTTATAGTTTGCAAATGTAATAACAAGTTTGGTTAAATTTGGCAGAGTAGTTTTTCAGAGAAGATTTTTGTAAAAGTTAATGGATGACGGACGACGACGACGGACGCCAAACGATGAGGCTTATAATCAGGGGCGGATCAAGAACCTCGGTCTGGGGGGCACCATGAAACCATAATTAAAGATTTGTTTAGATATGTATATATGCGAGTGTGGGTGGTGGTAGTGTCATGTATTGGGGATGATGGTGGTCGTGGAGGGGGGGTCGGGTCTTCATTTCTATATCTTTTCATTATTTTTGGATCCATTTCTTTCTACTCTTTTATTTGCTGCCAATTGTCCTCTATTCTTTATAGTTCATCACACCTTTAATCTGTTTTCTATATTTTTTGGGCACATTTTTTTCTAGTCTTTACTTTTTGATCATTATTCTCTAATCTGTAAACCCCATTCATACCCTCATTCACGGTAATTAAAACAAGAAAAAAATGTGTATACACATATTACTGTACTATAATAGAAAAAGAAAGGATATGGGGTATCCATCCACGACACAAAATCAGTACATGCACAGCAAAAAACACACAATAAGCAAAGGAACAGCGCTTTTATTGCTCTTTGTCTCAAATATGAGTATAGGTTTTCTTAAAATACAATATCATTTTATTAATGATATATATATAAGGCACAGACCATTCATGTTTTGTGGAGGGGGGAGGTTTTTTTAAAGACAAATCATTGGTTTCCATAAAAAAATAAGGGGAAAAAACACGACATTCAGTTTAAAAAAATGCTGTATGCATTGAAAAAAAATCGTTTGTTACTGTTCTGAGAAAGACACATTCCCCAGAAACCGTATACAATGTGAGTGTTTGGTAATAAAGACGTATCTCATATCGATACTAACATTCCTGACACTAAACGTCTATTTTTACATATTCTTTTCAGACCGATTTTAGTTGGTAATTTCTTTTCTGATCAGAAGATTTCTCTTGTTAATCGATCTTGATCCTGTCATATTGTATTAGAAATCAATAAATATATTCATATTAATTCCAATCAGCATGTAGATGTACATGTAGTTTACATAAATGCTTTTGGATATAGACATTACACAAAGGTGTCAATATTTACACACCCATCGATAAGTTGTCATAAATCACGCATGTTGAAGCTGGGGTTAATTGACCACTTTAGGAAGTCAAATCAAGCTGTGTCTTGATTTTAGATCTAGATATCTACATAAACAGATACAGTAGCAATACTTGAAAACTATGTTAGAAAATTTTTTGGTGACTCCGACTTGGGGGGGGGGGGGGGGGGGGGGCACATGCCCCCTGTAAATCCGCCACTGATAATTGTAGACTAAGACCAACGTTAGATTTGTTATTCATATTTTGATAATTTAAAGATGACCAACTACAGATTTAGCTTTGACGTAGACAGTAATCAATCTAATCGTAATCATGTTTATTGGCCATAATAACTACGAAAGCACATCATATTAATGAAGTACAACGAACTATAACGGTATAAGAACATAATATAATAACAAGACAACATCGTGTAAATAATCACTCATCGTTATTTATCAATATGCTCTAATATAAAGACATCCACATAAAGACATCTACACATGATATAAAGACATCTGCGCGTCATATAAAGATATCTGCCCCGTTTCCATTCTCAATTTTATCGACACATCATATACAGACACCAGCACATCATATAAAGAATTTAAAAGCATCAACACATCATATAGAGACATCTGATCTGAGCATCATATAAAAACATCTAAAAATGATATAAAGACATCTACACATCATATAAAGTTATCTACATATCATATAAAGATATCTGCACATCATATAAATAAAATTGAGAATGGAAATGGGGAATGTGTCAGAGAGACAACAACCCGACCAAAGAGCAGAAAACAGCCCAAGGCGGTATCCGGTCGTTCCGGCCCCAAGTCAATCCGACCCAAAGTCGATCCGGCCCAAGTCGATCCGGCCCACGTCGATCCCGCCCCACGTCGATCCGGCCCCATAATAAATGATAAGGAATAAACTATATAGACATTTAATCAGTATAAATGGAATTTGTAAAAAGTATCAATGATGGATGACAACAGGTCAGTAAAGTATGAATATATTGGAGTACCAGTAAGATGAAAGATTTAAAAAAATTTAAAAGTCGATACGAAAATGGTTGTGATTGTGTCTGTTTGTATAGCAGCTTCAGCATAATAATATTAAGGTATTTTCCTTGATAACTTTGAATGTCATGGCGATTTTTAATTATTTAAATCACACTTAGAAGAGATAAATAAATATTTACAATCCAATGAAACCTATAAAGTTTAACTCATTATAATGACCTGTAATAGTCTATAATAATTGGTTTGTTTATTCAACTAGTGTCTGATGATTGTGAACTAAGGTAATGCAACTTGTAATCACTTAATTCAATCAAATCCTGATTGATTAAAGTTACGTAATCAACAAGGTCTTTATAGTTTGATCTTTTGTTTGGTGTTATGTCTTATAATAATTATTTGCCGGTATTTTTTTTTCAGTTAACATCAGAGGCTTCTATAACACTTGTTTTTTTTTTGTAATATCGAATGTAGTCAATATATAAATTATTTTTTTAAAGTTGACAATATTTTGAATAGTTGTGTGTAGATAAAATAAAAACAAGTTATATGAGTATCCATTATTCTTTATTGCAAGATAATAAACAAACAATTACACTGAATGCATATTTTCAGTAAGGATTCGGCAAATCAAACAACGTTTCTCAATTTGAGAAATTTTAAGAACAAAGTTTGTATGTATCAGCTTTGAGATCGTCTAGTACCATTGTGTATGTAACTATTTGTTATTACACATGATGAAAGACTTGTAAAGATCACAGTCAGTTGAAAGAAAATGCTAATTACTGCTGATTAATGTTGATGTCTTTTGATTGTCCTAAATTCTGTTATATACGTTTTTAATATAATTATACCCAATAATTTTGAAAACTTGTAATGAAAACATAATCAACCTAGCTGTTTTATACTCATGTAAAGACAATATTTGTTCAAGGCCTTTTTTTTCACCGTACTGCAGTACACCTTTTACATTATAATAAAATTCTATAACATTTATGAATTACAATTAATATTCCTTATAAATATATTTTTATTGGGGCCGGATCGACTTTAAATATGGGCCGGATCGACGTTGGGCCGGATCGACGTGGGGCCGGATCGACATGAAAGCCCCAAGGCCACCAATGGGTCTTCAACACAGCGAGAAAATCCCGCACCCGGAGGCGGGCTTCAGCTGGCCCCTTAACAAAAATGTGTACCAGTTCAGTGAAAATGGGCGTCACACTAAACAAAGACATGATAAAATAAACTGCTTCGCTGAGCGCAGCTGGATACGCCAGCAGAGGTCAAACCCTGAACAGTTGGGGCAAGAATGGACACAATATTCAAGCTTGATACAGGTCTGAATTTGGATTGTAATTAAATATTTGATATATTATAGGTTTCTGAATAAATGTAGTCAAAGAACTTGAAATTGGTTATATGAAAGATTTCTTGCTGTTGTGCAATACACTGTGCTGTTGCGCAATACTTAGTAAATCTGTTGTCAGACTATAAACAAATAAAATCTTATAACTCGGAAACGTAAAATCGAAAATTTATAAAAATCAAAAGGGAGCTTACAAAAATAGATATAAACAATTTACCAAAGTTTCATAAAAAATGCTTTTTGAGTTATTGTCCAAAAACTGGAAAATCCCCCTCTGTGTAATGAATAAAACCCCATAAATCGGAAACGTATAGTCTGAAATTTATAAAAATCAAAATGGAGCTCATGTCGATAGAAATAAACAATTCACCAAAGTTTCTTGCAAATTGGTGAAATTGTTTTTGAGTTATTGTCTGAAAACTGGAAAACCCCCCCCCCCTATTTTAATGAATAAAACCCCAAAACTCGGAAATGGTAAATCTGAAATTTATAAAAAACGAAAGGGAGCTCACGTCAATAGATATAAACAATTCACCAAAGTTTCATGCATAAGCGTTTTTGAATTAATGTCCGACATGTTGACGACGGACGCACGGACACACGGTCAATGGTATACCATAATAAGTCCCGTAAACGGGCGTATAAAGACACCTGCACATCATATAAAAAGACATCTACACATCATATTATGTCAAATGGGCATCGGGCATCACAAAACCTACCATTTTATACCCAGTAGTCTTTCAGTTATTTATGAGAATTGAGTATGAAGACTATGAACTCATGGGTACTCTATAACATTCCATATACAAGCCTGGAATTAAGGATACAAAAACTTTAATCTTCATTTATGCTACCTGAAAACCCTTGTGGCACTACTGAAATATTGCATTTTCAAACCATTGGTTTACTGGAGTGACACCAGAAATAATGAATGAAGAGAGACAATTTCTAGTTTTATTACATGTAGGTACACATTATTACTTTAAATATGGATTATTTCAAAAGAAAACTAGAGGCTCTCAAGAGCCTGTGTCGCTCACCTGATTCTACTTTGGTTTTGGAAATCATGTAAAAATAGATTAAAATCATAACAGATACCCTAATAATGAGTGAGGCCAAATTTGGTTTAATATTGGTCCTGTAATTTAATAAAAAATCCTGGTGGCCATCTTGAACAGTAAATCGGCAACAAAGTAGCAACACTTAATCAGCACCTCATAAGAAACATTTATGCCATGTTTTGGTTTCATTCCATTCAGTGCACCTCTAGAAGAAGCATTTGTATGTATTTCCCATAGGGTCTTATGTTAAAGGAAGTCCCCCCATTGGCGGCCATCATGGATGAAGGATCAGCTTCAAAGTAACAAGACTTGGTCAGCACCTCAAAAGGAACATGCATGCCATGTTTGGTTTCATTCCATTCAGTGGTTCTTTAAAAGAAGACATTTGTATGTATTTCCTATAGGGTCCTATGTTAAACTAAGTCCACCGCTAGCGTCCATCTTGGATTATGGATCGGCTTCAAAGTAACAACACTCGGTCAGCACCTCATAAGAAACATTCATGCCATGTTTGGTTTCATTCCATTCAGTGGTTCTCTAAAAGAAGACATTTGTATGTATTTCCCATAGGGTCCTATGTTAAACTAAGTCCACCGCTGGCGGCCATCTTGGATGATGGATCCGCTACAAAGTAACAACACTTGGTCAGCACCTCATAAGGAACATTCATGCCATGTTTGGTTTCATTCCATTCAGTGGTTCTCTAAAAGAAGACATTTGTATGTATTTCCCATAGGGTCCTATGTTAAACTAAGTCCACCGCTGGCGGCCATCTTGGATGATGGATCCGCTACAAAGTAACAACACTTGGTCAGCACCTCATAAGGAACATTCATACCATGTTTGGTTTCATTCCATTCAGTGGTTCTCTAAAAGAAGACATTTGTATGTATTTTTTTTCATAGGGTCCTATGTTAAACTAAGTCCCCCGCTGGCGTCCATCTTGGATTATGGATCGGCTTCAAAGTAACAACACTCGGTCAGCACCTCATAAGAAACATGCATGCCATGTTTGGTTTCATTCCATTCAGTGGTTCTCTAAAAGAAGACATTTGTATGTATTTCGCATAGGGTCCTATGTTAAACCAAGTCCACCGCTGGCGGCCATCTTGGATGATGGATCCGCTACAAAGTAACAACACTTGGTCAGCACCTCATAAGGAACATTCATGCCATGTTTGGTTTCATTGCATTCAGTGGTTCTCTAAAAGAAGACATTTGTATGTATTTCCCATAGGGTCCTATGTTAAACTAAGTCCACCGCTGGCGGCCATCTTGGATGATGGATCGGCTACAAAGTAACAACACTTGGTCAGCACCTCATAAGGAACATTCATGCCATGTTTGGTTTCATTCCATTCAGTGGTTCTCTAGAAGAAGTTCAAAATGTAAAAAGTTTACGCCGACGACGGACGACGCCGGACGACGACGGACGACGGACGACGGACGCCAAGTGATGAGAAAAGCTCACTTGGCCCTTCGGGCCAGGTGAGCTAAAAAAGAAGAACAGTATACATGCTTATCTAGGCTAAACTTATGTTTGCATTTCCGTGAGGGAAAGTGTCACAATAGAGATTTTTAATCTACCTACACAAAATATAATTGGACAAATTGCTGAAGAAAACTACAAGAATTACCTTATAGTCAGTAAAACAGATATTTGTTACAGTGAAATCAAAAATTGACGGCAGCAACTCTTCAACTACAGTACTGTTATTCCTTACATTTAGGATGCCATACATCCATAAAAAAACATCAAAATAAAAAAGATCTGAATAGAACAGCCAAACTAGCTTTTCCTGAGGGAATGCGTAACCTTAGTAGAAAAGGATATCAACTGTAAAATGATTGATTACCTTATATGTCGACCTGTATGAAATTCTTGTAGTTTTCTTCAGCAATTTGTCCAATTATATTTTGTGTAGGTAGATTAAAAATCTCTATTGTGACACTTGTATTCCTATTGTATTCCTATTCTAATGCATCACAAAAAGAAATTGTTCATTAGAGCTTGTCAAAATGGGAAAATTTAAGATAAAAATAAAATTCCTAGAAACTTCATGAATGAAAGAAAACATTCAACCCAAAGGTTATTTCGTTATTTGTACGATTCAGATTTAGATATACTAGTGTTCTAATTGAAACGGCGTTTTTGAGGTATTATATGATTTATTTTCAATTATATTGTATCAATCGAACATTTGTGAATTCGAGCAATTCAAAATGGTGACTAAAGGCATGTCGATTGTGTAGTTGACAGTAAACTTTAGCCAATGAAAAAAGTTGTTACATAAAGATTGTATTATAATTTGGTATCAAGGATTTTTCTCATTGTTGAAGGCCTTACAGTGACCTGTAATTGCTTATATCCACTTATTTGAACTCTGGTGAATAGTTATCTCATTCGCATATTCATACCACATCTCCTAATTTCTATACTATATAATTATTCCAGAAATGTGTGCATGGTTTATGCCCTGAATTCTGTATGATAAGCTAAGAATCTTACATTCTATTTACAATTAACAGTTAACAATAACAGTATTGGCTGATAGGCAGGAACATCAGATATGGTTTCTGAAACATTTTACCATAGTGTTAATTATGGCCATGTTTAGTTTTAATTTGCATGACTGAAAAATTCCCTCTGATTGGTCATTTGATTGTGCGCTAAAAAGGTGGCTATAGGTTACATTTTAAAAGAACACTAAGTATAGATGACCATTATATAGTACAGTGCAAATAAATGTGCAGTTATCATCCACGTTAACAGTATAAATTGATAAAAAAACTTGGGACTAACACTATGGTTTTACATAAATTTGCAAGAGTCAACTATAATCTATCAGCCTTCTCTTTTCATTTAACAGTGCTTTGCTGTTGAGATTCTCCATCAGGGAACAGCTTCTGTAATAAAGATAAAATCAAGTTATAAAATGATTTACATTTCATAATGCAATGTTCCTAAGCTAAATTAGCCTTGAAGAACACTCCAGTTATCCATACATTCTCAAAATGATCATGTGACACAAATAGACTATACATTTCATTCCTGAATTACTGCATAAACGCCATTTTGCTAATGAACAAGTAAAATTTGTCCACTGACTTTTCTGAAATGACTAATTTGTCATATGTAAGATATTGTACAAGTGTACATCTGTTTTTCTATAATTTTCTCAAATAGTGGAGCATGTAGTATCTTACTTAGAAATAGTAAAAGAAAGATTATATCAATGGGATTAGAATTATTAATTTTTCATCTATGAGCTTCAATGCAGATTCAAAATAAAAGTCAGTAATGTACTACTTTGTATTCTAATTTACTGGTTATAACATCATTCATATTATACAATTTATGACTTTTGATGAGGTTGATATGATATATATATATATATATATATATATATATATATATATATATATATATATATACAGCACAAACAACATTTTCCAAAAGACCAAAAAAGTGAAAAAGTATATTTTAACAAAACGCATTTGACTAGCAGGTCGAACAACGGATGTTCTTAAACCCTGCTGACTGCCATGGCGATTGCCAAATAAACGGATCACAGATGTAACACAATGGATCTTAATTATATTAATTTAATACCAAACAGAAAACAATAAACTTGCGGAAAAGATGGTATACCGCAAACATGAGGTGCAAAAATTTGTACACCATATCCGGATTTCGACAATTAATGTCTCTTCAGTGATGTTAGGAATCGAAACGGTATTTGGAAGGCCATATAATTTACCTCAATTTGGGATTGACTCTTGAATTTTGAAGAGTCGAAATAGGATGAACGGATCATATAAACCCGAAGGCAAATATAATACAAGCCCAAACGAAAAAATATAAACAAGTCTAAATTGAAAACAACGTTTAAACCTATGATTGCGTTGGATAAAAACCGCAATTTTTATACATGTGCATGCAAAACAAATTTCTTTGTAGAGGGGTCTAAATACAGCACAAACAACATTTTCCAAAAGACCAAAAAAGTGAAAAAGTATATTTTAACAAAACGCATTTGACTAGCAGGTCGAACAACGGATGTTCTTAAACCCTGCTGACTGCCATGGCGATTGCCAAATAAACGGATCACAGATGTAACACAATGGATCTTAATTATATTAATTTAATACCAAACAGAAAACAATAAACTTGCGGAAAAGATGGTATACCGCAAACATGAGGTGCAAAAATTTGTACACCATATCCGGATTTCGACAATTAATGTCTCTTCAGTGATGTTAGGAATCGAAACGGTATTTGGAAGGCCATATAATTTACCTCAATTTGGGATTGACTCTTGAATTTTGAAGAGTCGAAATAGGATGAACGGATCATATAAACCCGAAGGCAAATATAATACAAGCCCAAACGAAAAAATATAAACAAGTCTAAATTGAAAACAACGTTTAAACCTATGATTGCGTTGGATAAAAACCGCAATTTTTATACATGTGCATGCAAAACAAATTTCTTTGTAGAGGGGTCTAAATACAGCACAAACAACATTTTCCAAAAGACCAAAAAAGTGAAAAAGTATATTTTAACAAAACGCATTTGACTAGCAGGTCGAACAACGGATGTTCTTAAACCCTGCTGACTGCCATGGCGATTGCCAAATAAACGGATCACAGATGTAACACAATGGATCTTAATTATATTAATTTAATACCAAACAGAAAACAATAAACTTGCGGAAAAGATGGTATACCGCAAACATGAGGTGCAAAAATTTGTACACCATATCCGGATTTCGACAATTAATGTCTCTTCAGTGATGTTAGGAATCGAAACGGTATTTGGAAGGCCATATAATTTACCTCAATTTGGGATTGACTCTTGAATTTTGAAGAGTCGAAATAGGATGAACGGATCATATAAACCCGAAGGCAAATATAATACAAGCCCAAACGAAAAAATATAAACAAGTCTAAATTGAAAACAACGTTTAAACCTATGATTGCGTTGGATAAAAACCGCAATTTTTATACATGTGCATGCAAAACAAATTTCTTTGTAGAGGGGTCTAAATACAGCACAAACAACATTTTCCAAAAGACCAAAAAAGTGAAAAAGTATATTTTAACAAAACGCATTTGACTAGCAGGTCGAACAACGGATGTTCTTAAACCCTGCTGACTGCCATGGCGATTGCCAAATAAACGGATCACAGATGTAACACAATGGATCTTAATTATATTAATTTAATACCAAACAGAAAACAATAAACTTGCGGAAAAGATGGTATACCGCAAACATGAGGTGCAAAAATTTGTACACCATATCCGGATTTCGACAATTAATGTCTCTTCAGTGATGTTAGGAATCGAAACGGTATTTGGAAGGCCATATAATTTACCTCAATTTGGGATTGACTCTTGAATTTTGAAGAGTCGAAATAGGATGAACGGATCATATAAACCCGAAGGCAAATATAATACAAGCCCAAACGAAAAAATATAAACAAGTCTAAATTGAAAACAACGTTCAAACCTATGATTGCGTTGGATAAAAACCGCAATTTTTATACGTGTGCATGCAAAACAAATTTCTTGTTAGAGGGGTCTAAATACAGCACAAACAACATTTTCCAAAAGACCAAAAAAGTGAAAAAGTATATTTTAACAAAACGCATTTGACTAGCAGGTCGAACAACAAATGTTCTTAAACCCTGATGACTGCCATTGGCGATTGCCAAATAAACGGATCACCGATGTAATAAATGGATCTTAATTATAATTTTAATACTAAACAGAAAACAATAAACTTGCGGGAAAGATGGTATACCGCAAACAAAAGGTGCAATGTTTTTGTACACCATATCCGGATTTCAACAATTAATGTCTCTTCAGTGATATTAGGAGTCGAAACGGTATTTGGAAAGCCATACAATTTACCTCAATTTAGGTCATTCGAGTCTATCCTAAATAAGACTCCTAAAAATTGTTTACAGAACAATTGAAGGTCTTTCCATCTTTGAATTTCTAAACCATTTCTGGCTTACTCAATCAAACTCATGGCGTCAAATCTGTTACCATAAAATAGCTTACTTTACATTGATTCCAAAAATATATGCTTTCTATATACTTTTCTTTCAAATAAGGGACGTTTGTATTGTTGGCCATCTTTTTTTTGACTGGTTTGGAAAAAGTCACAAACTGGCTTATAGTATGTGTGGAACATGCACGCAAGAGGTGAAAATGGATACCTAATTTGTGAATAATGCAACGCAAACAGGTTTTTATATGTAAACGGATGTTTCATTCATATTTGTCTCATGGAATTATACCCTGGTAGATCAACAGTTTACATTACTGGTAGAGAGGGTTCGGCCTGTGCTTTCGCTCCAGGTCTTAGGACAGCAAACTGACAATCCTCAGAACCAACACGATACAACAAAAGACAGGTGTCATAAACCCAGAAATGACCAGAGGTGACGATTGCGCCAAGCAAAGTTTTCACTCATGTTACAAATAAACAAGATCGAAAGACGTGGTGGATTACCTAAAATATCAAAAACTGTACACTAGTCATTCTTTAAAATAATCAATCAAGTTCATGATTTCACACATTTTGACAATTATTGCAGTCATTTAATTTATTTAAAGAACGTTCCTTTGTTTAAATTTCTGCAGTATATTTAGAGAATTCTTGATTATTTAACGAAAAATATCATCAAGATAATGGTAAGTTTTATTGAATTTAATGATTAAATGGAATTTAGATGATTCTTAACTGAGTTTGGCCATAAACTGTGATTCATAACAGTACAGGAATAAGTCTGCCAAATAAAGTGCAGTTGATAACCAAAGAAATACCTACAACCTGTCGATAAACTTTATTGCCCAAACTGAAGGAGAAATTGAGAAAATTTACAGCTTTAATCTTTTCATCACATATTTACTTTTCTCAAACGAGAAAAAGGCTTTATATGAGTTGCAGCAAATACATTTACGATAAGATTTTTCAAACGACCATTGAATTAAAAAGGAAAAACTTTTGTTTGATAATAATGTGTGGAAGTGTAGTGTAAAGAGTAGAAAAGTCAAAATTGTCAACCAAATTAAAAGGACCATCAAAAGCATGTAATTTATCTAAAACATCCAAAGAATTGTTTACACTCCAAAAATAGTTCATTCCACTATTTTCATATGTTTTATTACAAAAGTTTATGATAAGTTCTTTGACAGTAGTTAAGGAACTTGTTAAAAACACTGAAAGATAAGTTGTAGAACACTTACTAAAGGCCGAAATGAAAAGATATCTTAGGTTTTTTTGTGTAGTTTAGGTAACCAACCTAGTAGGGACCTTCAAATGTTCAGAAGATGTCTTAAGCTGAGGTGTGGTAATGATATGATTGTTTACTATATGACTCTCTGTGGAGCCCAGTGACCTGAATGTAGAAGAATTTATAATTTCATTCTTAAGAACTTTCATGTAGAATTTACGTCATACCACCATCACATTATTGGCTGCTCTGCTTTGTGAGTATTTCAAGTTGGTTTCTTATTCTAGAAATAGGCGTATTTCTGTGGATTCATTATTATTCGTGGGATACCAATTTAAGTCGATTTCATGAGTATAGGTGAACCACGAATTCAAATGTTCAATGAAGTACATTGTACAACTTTTCTATAGGGTTGTATGCTGACTTTGGCAAAACCACGAAATCAAATATCCACGAAAATACGATTTTTCCTCAATCCACGAAAATTGGTACCAATGAAAATAAATGAATCCACAATATTAGGTCTTTCCACTTTTCCGTTGTTACGAATCAAGTTACGTTTCAGATTTCATTGTACGCAATCTATGTATTACTGGTAAATCATTGAGTCAAGGATTTCCTTACCACAAATTACTTCAAACCTTTACTCAACTCTTCCAT